GTTTGATCCCAGCAACACTTGTTCCCCTGAGCACCAAGTGGGAATAGCCCTGAGCACTGCTGGGTACGGCCCCCAAAGCCAAACGCCCTCCCCCCCACCCAAATATGAAAAACAAACCATCCCAGAAAGACAGGGTAAATTCTTTACTTCGACGAACTCTTCCTTGTTTTTGCTCAGTCCTCACCCTCTCTCTGTTTGAAAATAGCATTCTGTTTTGGTTTCATGGGTGCAATGATTTGTCTTTGGTCTCTGGGTATATTAATTACAGTTTTCATTTGTTCCCTGCTTTGTCTGTTTCTTCAGAGTCGTGTCCCCCCCATCTTTTTATATATATATTTTTTCTTATGGTTTTGGCTTCTCTCTTTCAGGTTGGAGCTTCGAGTGCTTGATAACCTTTAATTATCCTTTTATGTTTTAAGAGTGAGACACTAAAAAAGGAGGACCAGAATCTTTGTGTGCCTGTATGCAGTTTGTCGCCTATTTCAGCATCCTGTGCTCTCTTCTCGGGGACGTTGGGTTTTTCCAAAGAAAGATCATCTCTGTGGGGGAGAGTGGAGTGCAGATATGCCTGGTTGTTACGGGAGTCGTGGTTAGGGCAGGAGTGGAAGCAGGCTGTCTGCACTTATTGTTTGGTGTATGGTTTTTGGTTTATAAATTTTAGTTTCTCTTTTTATTTGGCACCTGGATGTGCCTGCTAATCCACTACTCTAGAATCTTTCTTGTTGAGTTTATTCAGAAAGCAAACTTCTTATTTGGAAGTTGGAGGGAGATGAAGAGGACCATCCTGCTGCTCTGGGTTAATGCTGGAGAACTAGACACATTAGCTAGTGCTTTTATTATTGCATTGTTTTTGTTTGAGGAGGCTACACCTGTTAGTGCTCAGAGGCTACTCTGTGCTTGAGAGTTAGTTGGAGTATTGCCAGGCATACAACACACACCTCCTGGGGGCTGGAGTGATAGTACAGTAGGTAGGGTGTTTGCCTTGCATGCGGCCGACCCAGGTTTGATCCCTGACATCTCATATGCTCCCCTGAGCTTCACCAGAGTAATTCCTGAGTGCAGAGCTAAGATTAATACCTGAGCATTGCTGGGCATGACACTAAAAGCAAAAAAAAAAAAAAACCTGAAAAGAAAAGAACCCCCAAAAACCCACAGTCCTTATGCATGCAAAGCATACACCAGCCACAGAGTACTTTTAGTCTTTGTTGGACTCCACCCTCACCCTCACATCAGTTCTCTAATTCCCACAATATGGAGCAGTCATAATTTACCACTTCACTGTCTGTTAATGGACATTTAAGTTACTTTCCAGTTTTGAACTTTTTTTTCTGATAGCCTTTTGTTTGTTTGATTTGTTTTATGGGTCCTATCCAGTGATGCTCAGGGGTTATTGCTGCCTCTGCACTCAGGGATCACTCCTGGAGGGCTCAGGGGACCGTATGGGATGCTGGAGATGGAACTTGGGTCAGCCTTGTGCAAGGCAAGCACCCTACCCACAGTATTCTCTCCAGCCCCTACCTCTCTTCATTCTATGGAATGGAAATACCAACCCCAGGAGCTACTGAATCCAGAATTCAAATGATAACTGTAATTAGGATTTTCTTACCTTTTACTCTTTGATTTTCTTTATTTTTGGCTTTATTCTCTGCCAGCTTCTGGTAACTGGCAGAGAGAACACTGACCAGTCTGGATGAAGTCCTCTGCCCACCTTGGGGAGGTGCAGTAATCACCATTGGGATTACAGGAATGAACAGGATCTGCATCAAACTTGTGAGAAGTTCCTTAAAGAAAGGTAGTGTGGGCAGAGAAAAAAAGAAAGTGCCCACTTGCAGTCACTTTTCAGTGATGGCAGAGTTTCAGGACAGATAAAGTAGGTAATGAACCAGTAAATATAATATAGGATATATTTATTAATATCAAGTTTTGTGTGGATGGGCGGGTGGGAAAGAAAGAGAGACAGAGAGCGAGAGAGAGAGACAAAGAGAATTATACATATTTCTCTGTGGATTTCAGTTACTCACTTTTAAGATTTCATTCATTTAACAAATAATTGAGTGATTCCTTGTGCCGTAATCATCCCTTATACTGGGAAATGCAGCAGCAAAGAAAAGTACCAGCCCTCATGCAGTCCCCATTCCAGTGAGGCAGCAGATGAATTACTCAGATATATCTTCTATTATAAAATATGAGGATAAGTGTTCTAGGCGAAAAGGGAAAGAGGAAGATAGGGAGTCAGTGTTGAAGTGTGATTTTTCTTTCTTCCCCTTGATGTGATGTAAGGGGGTCCACACTTGGTGCACTGGAGGTGACAAACCTCTTGTGGCACTGGACTCAGGATCAGACCAGCAGGGATCTCTCCTGGTGGTACTCAGAACAGGGATTGGCCCATGCAAGGCAAGAACCTTACCCCCAGGAACTATCGCTCTGGCCCCACTGACTTAAGTTTTTGAAAGGATTACCCAAATGGATATATTGAGAATAGATTGTAGAGGGGCAAGTGTAGAAGTTAGGAAACCAATTAGGTTATTATAGTAATTTAGGCAGTAGGTAGAACTGACTAGGATGGTGGTGGATTTGACAAAAAGTAGTGCCAGTAGATGCACAGTGAATAATGAGGTATTAGAGAAAGAGAAGAGACTAAGTAGATTTCAGTGTTTTGGGCCGGCACAGTTGACCAGAGTAATTAAATGAGCTAGGTAAGAACATGGGGAATCATCTTTGACATGGTAAGTTGAAGATGCTTATTAGATATTCAGATGAAGTTGTCCAGTAAGCAGTTGGGTCTAAAAATCTAGAATTTATAGCTAGTGGAGAGACTCAGCTAGAAGCGTGGAAATTGTCAACATATAATTAGTGTTTAAAGCCATGAAACTGGAGATCATCAGGGAATAAAAATAAACAACAGAGAAAAGTTGCCCAAGAACTTGAAGTGTTGGAGGAATTGCAAGGAGGCTTGAATCAGAGTGTTAGGTTGCTTGCCAGTGTTACAAAGTTGAGGACAAGACAAAGAACCAACAAAGAAGATCAAAACGGAGCAACAAATAAATTAGAAAGAATCTGAGGACCAGATCTTGATATTAGGGATCAAATCCCAAGCCTAACAATTGCAACAAAGTGCTCTACCCTGAGCTATATACCTGGTCTGGAAATTGAGGCTAAAAAAGAAAGGAATTTAAGGAGTGAGTGATCAGTTGTTACGTGATGCAGAATGAATAAGGTGAGGATTGAGATTTGACAATTGGATGTAAAAATGTCAAGTTTTAGTAAATCAGATATACATATATGTATCACATTACTCCTGGCAGGGCTCAGGGGACCACATGTGGTGTTGGGGATCAAACCTGGATTGGCCACATGCAAGGCAAACACCTTACACCCTGCACTACTTCTTTGGCTTCGTTAAGTTAATTTTTAGCACCTGTTCTTTTCCTTAGGAGTTTTTTATTTTATTTAATTTTGGGGGGGCTTCAGTCACACCCAGGGGTAACTCTGGCTCTCCATTCAGGAGTCATTAAGGGGATCATATGGGATGCTGGGGATCAAACCCAGGTTGATGTGTGAAAAGTAAGAGCCTTGCACACAGTACTATTGGCCCCAGCAGTTTATTTTAGTCAAAAGAAGTTCTTTGTGGCGTGGTGGCCCATACCTGGTGTTGCTTGGGAGTTACTCCCAGTGGTTGCTGGTGTGGGGAAACCATACAGACCTGGGACTGCAAAACATGTTCAGCCCATTGGGCTCCCTCGCCCTTTCATAGGAGTTTAAAATCTTCAGGGAGTCTAGGAGCCTAACAAATATTTATTGTTATTTCATCATTCTCTAATTCTCTGTTGTACACAAAACTACAAAAATACTAGTGTTGAACAACTCCAATGAATATGTAAATATATTAAAAGATTTACATATTTGGAGATTATACATATTTCCTTTGGAATGTCTTGTATAAAATGAAAACACCACTTGGGGCCAGAGCAGTAGTACAGTGGGTAGGGAGTTTGTCTTGCAGCGGCCAACCCGGGTTCGATCCCTGGCATCCCATATGGTCCTCCGAGCACTGCCAGTAGTAATTCCTGAGTGCAGAGTCAGAAGTAAACCCTGAGCATCACCAGATGTGACCCCCCCCAAGAAAAAAAAGAAAGAAAAGAAAACACCATAAACAAATTATTAATTTTATACCTGAAAGTTTGCTATTGGCTTTTGGGTCACATTCCATAGTGTTCAGGCTTCTTACTCAGGGTTTATTCCAGGCAGTGAGGCAGGGCTGGGATTGAACCCAGGCCTCCCACATGCAAAACATGAGCTCCAGTTCATTGAGGTATCTCCCCCCTCCCCTTCTTAAAAAATTGGCTCATTGATTTTTTTGTTTTGTTTTTGGCAATACTTGGGTTACTCCTGACTCTACACTCAGGAATCATTCATGGTGGTACTCAGGGAGCCATATGGGATGCTGGGGATTGAACCCAGGTCGGCTACATGCAAGGGAAGTGCCCTCCCCACTGTACTTTCTGTCGACCTCTTCCCCTCCTTTTAAAAAATTAGAGTCACACCTTGTAGTATTCAGGACACCTGTTACTAAGGATCAAATCCACACCCCATCACATGCGAGGCATGTGGTCTGCTGTTTGAACTTTCTCCTGGAGCCCTGTGCTGGGAGGCTTTAAGTCAATTTTTGTAGAGAAACTAATAGTCAGGACTGGGGAGGTAGTACAGCAAGGTAGGGCATTTGCCTTGTATATGATGAACCAGGGTTTGATCCCCTATACCCCATAAGGTCTCCTGAATACCACCAGGAGTGATTGCTGTATGCAGAGCCAGGAGTAACCCCTGAGCATTGCCAGGTGTGGCCCCTCCCTCCAAAAAAAAAAAAAAGAGAACCTAAGTTATTGATTCTAAGCTGTTTTCAGGTATAGCTAATTGTGATTCTTGATGCCTAGAAATATTAGTTGTAGCTGTTAAAAATACTGTTTCTCTAATGAAAACATGTATTTTCCTTCCTTTATTAGAAATTCATTGAATTTGAAGACTCTCAAGAACAGGAAAAAAAGGATTTACAGACCCGAGTGGAATCTTTAGAGTCTCAAACAAGACAGCTTGAACTCAAAGCAAAAAACTATGCTGACCAGAGTAAGTAAAAATACCTCTTTTTACAAGTACATTTTAAAGTGTGGGTTCTAATAATACAGTGACTCATGTTGACATTTGAATAGGGTTCCAAGAATGTGCTTGGAATTGTCCTCTAGACTCAAGAAGGAGACCTGGGAACTAGGTTTAGTTTTCTCCATTCACATTTTTGTGAGGTACCCCAGTGTCTGCAGAAATGGTTGCATCAGCGATCCCTCTCAGTCTTCTTCGTTGTCATTAATGGTCAGCCTTTGTGGCTAACTTGTTGTTTTCATCATGCGGGATTCTAGGGTGTGCACGTGTGGATCATACTAATTTTGGTGCAACACCCAAAGCTTTGGGTATTCCTTCAAAATTTAAACTGTAAGAGAAACAGCTTTGAAATTTAAAAGTTATTGAGAGGCACTGGAGAGATAGTACAGGGATCAAAATGCTTGCCTTGCATGTGGCTGACACCATTTTGATCCCTGTGCACTGTCAGGAGTGATCCCTGAGCAAGGAGCCAAGATGTAGCCCCTGAGCATTGCTGGTGTGACTCAACTACCCTGCCCTCCACACTGCCCTCTTACTGGGAAGGCCACTTTTAAGGGCATGAGCTCATGCTTTGCCGCTGGTAGCTCCTGTCGTAGTCTCTGATTCCTGCTGCTACTTATTGCCTTGGTCACCACCAGGAGTGACCCCTGAGCACTGCCCCAAAATTTTTTTGCTTTTCTTTTTCTTTCTTTTGAGGGGTGGAGAGATGGCTCAAAGGGCTGGAGTACATGGATCGAGCTGTGGGTTGAAGACCCACCATGGTCTCCTGAGCACGGAGCCAGGGGCAGCTCCCAAGCTGGTGTGCTACCTCCCCTCAAAAAAAGAAAAATGACGTTGGAATTAAACATCAAGGCAACATTGACCTAATTAATCTCTTATTGATCTACCTATCACATTTTACTTCTGATTTATGAAAATGACCAAATTTTGACTTAAGGAAATTTTCTTTTTGGTTTTGAAAGGAACTAACTTCTTGTTTAGAATTTTTTTTTATGCGTTAAGTAGTGTACTTCTGTGGCAATGGAGATACTGAAGGAAGATTAACCTAATACTTGAAGTTTGGTACCAAAATATGTTTTTTATATTCAGAGGGGATGCTGCTTTTTTTCTTTCCATAACAGTAGCTGAATAGAATTAATTTTTTAATATACTTATTTTATTTCTAAAATCAAGAAAACCTTTTTCCTGTTCCCTTCTAGTCAACAACAACAAAATATTTTCAATTTTAAAATTAAGGGATGTAATCAATTTAAGATAGCTGAGTATCTTGAAATTTGTCTTCAGTCTTCCAGATTTTATTTAGTCCAGTAAACTTTCTTTTTCTTTTTATTTTTTTGGGGTGTCTGTGCCCGCACGCACACATGCGCGCGCTTGTGCCACATTTAGTCCGGTAAACTTTTTCTTTTGTTTTTATTTGTGTGTGTGTGTGTGTGTGTGTGTGTGTGTGTGTGTGTGTGTGAGAGACACCTGCCAGTGCCAGTAAACTTTCTTTTTCTTTCATTTTTATTTTTTTGGGGTGTGTGTGTGTGTGTGTGTGTGTGTGTGTGTGTGTGTGTGTGTGACATCTGCCAGTGCTTAATCCTGAAGCAGAATTCATCCACATGCAGAACATGCACACTCGTTCTTTGCGCTAGTTCCCTGCCCCAGTCCAGTAAATTTTATCCAACTTTTGTGGTCAGTGTTTTATGTCTTCTTGTTTTTTCCTCTCAGAAGCACTAATTGCTCGAGCCAGGAAGCCCATGTCTGATCCCTAACATTGCATAGTAACCATGTGCTACTGGGAGTGGCCTGCCCCTCCTTCTTACCCCACAAAAGAAGTAAAAAGTAGCCATAATAAAAGTCCAGCTCCTGTTTTAAATATAAAGTCTTACGTCAGTGTGGAAAATTTTGGTTGAAATTGCTTGCTACTTGGAAAGTAAGAAAAAGTCTTTTAAAAAAGGAACTGAACTCAGGGACATACTTCACAGTTCTTACTGGTATGGAACCTGCTTGGTTTGTGGTATGATTTCACAGTGTCAAGAAGTTAAGTACATAAAAAATTTATAGGTTTCTAGTTTCTTTTTAAAATTCAAACTACGTGAGATACATTTTTATAAAAGCATGTCGTTTTGCTTTTGGCTGCGCTCAAGAGGCTACTCCTGGGTCTGTACTCAGGAATCACTCCTGGTGGTGCTCAGGGGCCCAGATGTGCCAGGGGTCAACTGCATTATCTCTCCAGCCCGGTTCATTTTGTTTTGGTGTTAGGAATCAAATCCAGGGCCTCATTAGCAAAATATGTACTGAGCTACATTCCGATCAGAATAAAGCAGTTTTTGAAAAGTTATTTATTAATTTTTTATCTGGGAGTAACATAGCAGTTCTTTGTCCTTAGCATTTTGTGAGTCTTAAGAAGACTATGAAATACATGTGGCATAAAATATGGAAGTTGTGGATCATGCTTTTCGGCTTTGTAAGGAGTTTTCATTAAGCCTTGTTTCATAGTATGGCAGGAGTGGGTTTTTCAGAAAATATTTTTTATGTTGATGAGTTCTGCTTAGGTACAGATGTGGTATGGAAGAATATGGGGGTCGTTGGACTCAAAGGAACCACAGTTTTGTGGGGAAAAGAGATTGTATGTACTATCTTCGAGTCTTTTTTCATGTTTTATGTTTTGATGTATATGTACATTTTCATGAATCATTAAAATGCTGTTAGAATATATAGTTTTGTTTTGGGGCCACAAATGCTGTTGCTCAGGGCTACAGAGGTACTCCTGGCTCTGTAGGGCTCTCAGGACCATATCGGGTGCCAGGAATCAAACCTGGGTCCGCTTTGTGTAAGGCGAGTGCCTTATCCATTGTACACTGCCTCTTCAGCTCATGTATATAATTTCGCGTCTTTTCCTTAGCGTTGTAATATTTTCCCTGTGTAGCTTTTAATATTTTATAAATGTTTGCCCACATCCTTTATTCAGAAACGTTGCTGTTGCTGTCTTATTAATTTTTGTTTTTCTTGAGGGGCTGTGCTTTCTTTTCTCTGAGGAGGAAAGGTCATCTATTTAATAACTATTTCTTTTCTCTCTCTCTTTTTTTTAACATGGGCTACTTAGAAACTTAGAACACTTTGTGTTTGAATTTTTTAAAAAATTTTTATTAGTGAAGCACCATGAGGTACAGTTGTAGACTTACAAATTTTTGTGCTTGCATTTTTTGATTAATTAATTTAATGGACCACACTTGCTAGTCAGTGGCTACTCCTGGTTCAGGGCTCATTCCTGGCAATGCTGACAGACCATGCAGTGCCAGGGACAGGACCTGGGCATCCTGCATGCAAAGCATGTGCTCTTGCATTTTTGATCCCTCACAAAACACTTGGATTTGTTTGTTTGGGGGCTGCTCCTGCTGTGCTCAAGGGATCACTCCCTGGCAGGACTCAGGTAGGACTGCTGGGGATCTAACCTAAGAAAGCTGTGTATGAGGCAAGCACCCTACCCACTGTACTGTCTCTTCAGCACAACAAATAAATGTCTCTCATTTCTGTTTTTTTGTTTTTGTTTGAGGACCACATCTGACCTTGCTCAGAACTTGCTCAGGCTAAGTGCTCAGGGAACCATATGTGATGCTGAGGATTGAACCAAGGAAGTTCCTTATCTGCCATACTATATCTCCTGCATCAGAACAAAATACAAAGTACTGGTTCAAAATTTGAACTATAAGGACTTAGGAGGATCTTATCTGGCTGGCATGTTTAAATTTTGTTTCTTTTGGTTTACATTTTATACATTTATAACTAATTGTAATGATAATGTTTTTGTTTTGTTTTGGGGCCACACTTGGCAATGCTCAGGGGTTACTCCTGCGTCTGCAGGCAAGGATCACTCCTGGCAGTGCTCAGGGGACCATATGGGGTGCTGGGGATCAAACCCAAGTTGACTGAGTGCAAGGCAAAAGCCCTACCTGCTGTAGTCTCTCCAGCCCCTGTAACAATGGGCTCTTAAAAGTGAAAAAGGGGCTGGAGCGATAGCACAGCGGGTAGGGTGTTTGCCTTCCACCCGGCCGACCCAGGTTCGATTCCCAGCATCCCATATGGTCCCCTGAGCATCGCCAGGAGTAATTCCTGAGTGCAGAACCAGGAGTGACCCCTGTGCATTGCCGGGTGTGACCCAAAAAGAAAAAAAAGTGAAAAAAAGTGGATTAAAAATGCAAATTTATGGTTTTTTGGTTGGTTATTTTTTCCCAGTGTAGTGAGTTATAATCATACTGAAGTATTTTCTTTTTCTTTTTTTCTTTTCTGTACACACCCAGCAGTGCTCAGAGGTTACTCTTGGCTCTGCACCCTGTAATCACTCCTAGCAGTGCTTGGGGGACCATATGGGATGCCAAGGATCGAACCCAGGTCAGCCACTTGCAAGGCAAATGCCCTATCCTTTGTGCTATCACTCCAGCTCCTGGAGAGAGTATTTTTTTTAGAACCATAGATTTCTCTGTTCTTTGTTTTTGTTTTCTTGGTCACACCTGCAATGTTCAAGGTCTCCTCTAGTAATGCCAGATTCCCCTTCCTTTTTGACAGTTTTCTCAATTTTTAAGGAAGTAGATCAAGGAATATGAACAAATTGGGCATTTCTGGCATATAATAGAATTGGGCCATTTTTAATGTGAACAGAATTGGACAATACTTCCAGCAAGTTTCATTTTATTTTTAATAAGCCATAATTTTTTTTGGGTCACACTCAGAGAGGCTCAAGGGTTACTTCTGGCTCTGCACTAAGGAATTACTACTGGCAGTGTTCGGGGGACGATATTGGATGCCGGAGATTGAACCCAGGTAGGCTGAATGCAAGGCAAATGCCCTACCCAGTGTACTATTACTCCGGCCACAATAAGTCATAAATTTGAATCATTATTTACAATGTTAGCTTAAGGAGTTAATTAGAGAAAGAATTTAAAAAGCAGTCATTATTTGGGGGCTGGAGAGATAGCACAGCAGGTAGG